ATCTTAGAATATGAAAACATTGGTGAATGCCACAAATTCTCCTAAATCACTCGTACGCACAACTTAAGAACAAACTTTTTTAAAGGTCTGTTTTTTCTGCTTCAGCTGAAAAAAGTGGGGGGGACAAAGGGCACAGATATTGGAGGTAGGGGGGACATGTCCCACCCGGTCCCTATGGCGGTTACGCCCATGAACCTGTGCGTACGAACGGTTCTTGCATGAGGTCCATTGTTACAAGAAATACATCACCTTTACTAACGGTAGAATAACTAGCCTCTGATCAACTTTTTGAATGTACTTGTWTTGTACATTTGAAATAATAAATTATTATGACTAATAGCAATAATGTTTACACCCTTGTTACATCAACAAGGGCTTGATTCCCCTTCCCTCCCAAACATCCCCCCTGAGGGATCTGGTCTAAAGGCCATGGAATAGGAGGGGAAACTCTGAACTGTGGTGAACCGAGCATGAAACAAATAAGATCTGGTCTCTGGACTCTGGTGGGTCTTGGATCGGTTCCAGCATGGAGAATCAACCTCACTGTCACCGGCTCCACTGAATCCCGCCCCCATCTCATGTTTGACCCAAGACCCCCCACCACCACCACCTGTCTGTTCTGTCGTATAGGATCAGAGCAACTTTTTAAAACACATCTCTCCTATTYGGTGTTTCCAAGCTGCAAAAGGAAGCACGACCCTGTTCCCCTGTTCTCCCATGTTTGTCATGTATGTTTTTCTTGAACGGGTGATGTTAACTGCTTTTTGTTCTTCGTTGCATCTCTGATGTTATGTTTGAATGACAATAAAGCAAATCTAATCTGTTTCATAAAAGACAAGAAGAGATCATGTGTTCAGGTGGAGATTTTCTCAGAAAGTCTGCAGATATTTGCTCCTGAATTGAAATTGCTGATGAAGAACATAAAATGTGCTCWAAAGGACGGAGGCCCAAAAAGCTCCAATCATTAAAGGTTAGGCCCACCTTCACACTTGATGATGACTTGCTACAATGTAAAAAGATAAATTACCAGGATGAGGCTGGTCTTTACAGGGTTAAGAATCATTTTACATGACAGGTTCATGGTTTGAAGTAAACACAGAACTTATATAGTGAAGTTGAGATCATCATAGTGGCAGCAAATCTTTTAGAAAGCCATGAATCAAAATGTCAGCATTACAATGTCCTGATGTACCTCAGTAATACAGGTAGAAAACAGCAAAAAGAAAAAATCAGTAGTTCCTCTGGATGGGTTCTTCTTTAGTGAAACGTTTCATCTCTCCTCCAAGAGACTTCTTCAGTCTAATGAGTTTCAGGTGAACTCAGCCTTATAAGCTCCGCCTCCACCTGGACAAACAGGTTAGTCACATGCAAAAAAGGGCCATCGCCTAACAATAGGCTTGATTAGTTCTATTGTTCATAGAGAGTCATGTGCCCCATCACGTGACCCGTGTCGTGTTATGTGDATGTAGTGAATGCAAGCGGGGGTTCAACGTCCCCTTGTTTTTGTCCCTCTTTGTGTTGGTATCATTGGTTGGTACCATTCACCTGAAACCCATCAGAATGAAGAAGTCTCTTAGAGGAGAGACGAAACATTTCACTAAAGAGGAAACCATCCAGAGGACTTACTGATTTTTTCTTTTTGGTCAGCATTACAACTTTTGCTAATTTCTCAAACAAATACTGGAACATTAAACCGATGGRAGAAAACAATGTGGGAGCAGGAAAAACAGGGATGGAAACAACTAGGACAGGATTCTTCTTCAGAACACTGGAACTTTGAAAAGACAAAGTTTTTTATCATGTAGCTGAGATATTACAGCACATGTAAACCAACTGCAGCCTGTTTATTTTTAGCTCTAAATCCAAGGACAGCATCCCTTCTATTGATTTGAAGAAAATACTTTTTCTTGGGGTTCTAGAAAGGTACTATTTCACTAAGCTGCAACAGGTGGGGGGTTGTTGGCTGAAAACATTTGGGGCAGTAGCCTTGAATGTTTTTTGTCAGATCAGTACAGGTGTCAAAATGTGGCAATCAATTTACAGAAACTAAATGAAGAATGAAAAACTTGATGTACTGAAACAGAATCTTACAAGACATTTTGGGGAGGTCTTTACAAATACCTTTAACCTACTCTCCAACTTTATAGCTTAGTGAGACCTTTAACAACAGCAGGATTTGATTTAAAGACTAAAAACTAAACTTGAAACAAAATCTGATTTTGCAAAGACTTACACAAGTTCTTTTGGATAATGAGCCATATGCCACAGACTAGGAAGTAGACTGAATAAACAAAACATTAATCTCAGTKACAGGCTTCTTCAGCAGCAAAACGAACAAAATAGCCTCATAAATAATAAACTTTTTTTCTTTCTTTTGTTAAGAGATTAAATTTAGCTGAAACCAATTAAGGGTGCAGTTATTAGGTCAATGTAACAGAACRTTGAGTTTAAAACATTTAACTGAGTTAAGCTAAAAAGAATAAATGTTAAAAGATATTCTATTTGACTAAGGTTGGGCAAAATTGTACTGTTTACAACTAAGCTTCAGAGAAACTGGAAAGTCAGAAAATGCGGACCGAGTCAACGCCAACTACAGCAAACTGTCCTCCAGCGAATGTTTGAAACAAACCTCTGCTGAGTTTCCACGATGCACTCAGTCAATCGGTTTCTTWACAAGTAGCAAACTAGGCACTGAAAGGCGGTAACGCAGCAGGCCGTGGCAGAGTGTTATTAAAGATATGGTGCCACTCCACATTGTGGAAAAGGTMGGTTTCAATTCACAGCTTAAGCTGTGAAAACAGAGAAGTAATTATAGCTTATGATTTATTTGTAAGCAGTGGTGGGCAACGCTAATCCAAAAATTAGCTCCGCAATTTCTAAAGCACAAACGAAATATTTAGGTCCGCAATTAGCGGATTTGTGCTTTAGTGGGCTGGTGCCCACCACTGTTTGTAAGTATCATTTAAGAACACAAGCTAACTGATTTAGAATCAAAAACACACAAATGCAGTTGTCATTTTTTAATCCTGATATTAACCTTTCTTGGCTAAATGCCGCAATTAATCATGCTTATTTTTTTTTTTTGCCAACATCACCCAACCCTAGTTTTGACCTAAATCCAAATCTAAAAGGATGTAATGGAAGACAAAACAAACAAGAAAATTGTGGTTAAGTACATTCTTCAGCTGTCCTTTCTTTTCRGGGTCATGGTAGAACTGGTGCTCATGTCTAGCAGTCACTGAGGTGAGGTACACCTGGACGAGTTGCAAAGAGACAACATACCATTCATGCTTAAACTACCARCTACACACAATTTAGAGGWGCCAATTAACATAATCTGCATGTTTTTGCTCTGAGGGAGGAAACCAGAGAAAACCRARGAGTGCTCAGGGAGAAGATAYGCTGGAAGGCAAACCTGTGACCTTCTTGCTATGAGGCGGCAGTGCTTACCACTGTACCACTGTGCAACTCTATTTAAGTTCAAATTATACGTTTTTGGAATTTGACAATGAAAAGCTTGATTAAAATTGCTGAAGTTTTTAATCTAAAAAACATTAATCAAAAACAGACTGWGCTAATTGGTGCTATGAAGAAAGGACTAAATCAAAACAGAATATTAAAAATAAAAGCTGATTCGTCTGTGATTCACAAGTAAATATTCTGACAGATGTGACGTTTCTAAGAGAACAAGGATAATAAAAGATCTTTTTTGTTTAATAAAAGCGTTCAATCCACAGTTTCTAACCACAAAGTTRAAAGTGTTCCTTTACAAAAATGCTGTGCCATGGATACAAAAATAGAAAAAAATGTGCAACTGGTGGTCTCCATGTGTGGTTGAGACGTGGGGGTGGAGATGGCTGTGAGAAGAGCCTAAAACTACCCCACAGGAAGAAATCCAGGCCACACAACAGCACAGAAAGGTTCGGCGGGGTAGGGAGGACGCTGCTTCAGATGGCGTAGTCGTCKGGAGCGGCGGGGCTGAAGGCGGAGCATCTCAGGACATCCAGGCAGTTGACCAGGATGAGTGTGCCGGTCAGGTGCTTCCAGCGTTTAGTGATGGGGTTCTTCATCTTGTCCAGGCCCATGTGCAGCTCCTGGATCACATCCCTGTAGCTGTCACCGATCTGAGCAGCCCACGTGACCAGGAAGTCATATGCAGGCTTCCACATGGCCTGCAGGGACAAAACCATTTGATTATCTTCAAACACACTTTGAACAGCTGATCATTGCCTGCTGCACAATATATTAGGAATCCCTGAACTAATTTAAATAATACATTTATAATTACTGAATGTAAAGAAATACTGTAGTGGTGTGAAACCATCCACACTGTTCTATATCAGTTAAATGATTACCGTATTTATTCAAGTATAATATGTAAAATTAAATCCATAAAATCATCCATAAAGTTGGGGGGTAGTACTATACTCGGATAAATAGTTTTACTTATCGGCTTCATTCACAAAATTATTGAGTCCGGAAATAAGACCGCGTTGTAAAAATCAGTTGAAACGAGCTCACCTCTGACACTCCTCCATACTTCAGAGCGAGATAATAACAGATCCAGGCAGGAGACATGATGTGAAAAAAAGCAGTCCTGCACCTTAGTAA